CACGTCATTCACATTCGTCCATTACTTAACGTTACTTTCGAACATGTTTGGAAATTTTTCGGAATTTATTCGAAACCTCAATTTGAATCTAACTGTGCTTTTTTTAAGAGTGCATGTTTAGAATAGTGAACACGTCGAATAACCTACGCAAATGACATGAGTTGCAATATCGGAACACCTTTTGCACCCAAGTATCGTTGACATTTGCTGCTAGCGCATATTCATGCGATGTATTTAAAAGGGACAGGACCGGGTTTACATAGATTTTAAATGCAAATGAACATTGATTTATGCAACAATTGCGCGGTTTTTTAACGTCACGATTCAAAACATGAGAACATATTACCCAATAAACTTACTGCATATTTAATGATTGCGAAATCATAAGGCAAAACATTCCGCATTTTTTCAAAACTGTTCTGCTAGCTTAAGAAAAAATGAAAACAGCTTTCTTCGACACAAAGTAATCGCTACTTTTTAATCTATATACATATCCAAGACGCGATCAACATCATTAAAGACAGTACAACTGTAGGGATAGATATACAGGGACAAAAGATTAGTATGATTAGATTTGCAGATGATATAGAAGTATTAGCATTTAACAAGGAGTTACAGATATCCTTATCGTTAAATAAAATAATATTGCATTAAAATAAAATAAAAATACTAGCGCGCAATGGAAAAGTAGGGAACAAGTAAATATAAAGATCATTATCATCATAAGATCGTCAGTCCTAAGACTGGTTGGACACGCACCTCTACTCTCCTATCCTGAGCTAATTTTTGCATTTCCCTAAAACTAGAACAACCTACATCATTAACTATTTGCGATAATATGTCTCTGACTAGATCTTTATGCCTGAAAATATAAAGATAGAAAGACGAAAAATTAGAAGGAACTAATTTTCGATATCTAGAAAATGTGGTAACTCAGGATGGAAGGAACAGTAGAGATATAGTACAAAGGATAGCGCAAGGTCGAGTTGCCTTTAACAAAAAGAAGTCAATTAATTCTGTGCTTGGTGTTGATTTTGCACAATATTTCGAAATTTTTTTTTCTTTTTTTACATTCTCGAAGTACCACCTCTCATAGAGAAAATAGATTGAACAACCAAATTTATTTACAACTTTTCACTCAATACAAAAGGAATTTAACGTTGGGTTCCGTGACGCAACACTATGCTCATGTACAATTAATTTAGAAATTCGAAGGAGATTTTTAAAGGTGTAAGTCTGGGGGCACGGCTCTGAACGGGTGCGAAACGTGAACGATAAGCACAGAAAAGAAAAGGTTAGTGTGTTTCGAAATGTAGTGTTAAAGGTGAATGATAAGGATACCGTAGACAGAGGAGAAGGTTAGAGAGAGTAGGATAGATAGATTGGTGGGCATGAAGGGCTAATTAGACATATTAGAATCAAACGGAGTTAAGAGAAGGAGAGGTAGATCTAGATTAGATTACTGTTCACAAATAGTCAAGATTGTTCTAGTTCTAGCTCGAACGTCACCTTTCTAGAGCTCTCCCCCCTCCTTCGTCATGTTAACTCACACTTTCAGCGATCCCCCCAATAAATATTACGTCACAAAAGTTATCCCCCCCCCATAAACGATCGTCTGTAATTACAAGTAGCAATGAGAATAACTCTATCATAATGAAAAATTTTAGTGTTAAGAAAAAATCAACATAAAATTGATCTGTGAATGTCAAATTTCAGTAGATCCTTCCCTCTCGACAAATCTCGTTACGCTAATATGCAATATACCCCCTCCCAGCATCATTTCCGAACTTATTTTATGAACGGTCCCTTGACAGCAGAAGAAATTTGACACAAAACTTAATACGAGCCTGGTTTTAATCAGTGCCGTGCCCAATCGCAAACCGGGGCAGGTCGTTCCCCGACCACAACCATTAAAAAACTAGAATAGCAACAACAATAATAACAACATTGTGTTGCCCTGCAGAAGTATTTTGATAAAAGTCGCGATATCGACGTGGGTGTTTGATAATCTCAGTCCGCTACAAATGAGAAGAAAAGAGAAAGAAAAAAAAAAAGGAACAAACAATTCAATAGAGAAATGCGTACATGCACGCCGAGAACCCCGACCACGGCAAATGTTGAACGGCGCTATTTATTACACAGCATTGCGTCGTGCCATGCCAGTGCAATGCCATAACTAAAAGTGCTATCTCCATTCAATAATATTGCCAACGTTGATCGCGTAGGAAGGCAATCCATACATTGCTGCTTCTTACGAGATTTAGTTTAGGTAAATGCTCGTTTAGATAAGGCGGTTCGGATTTATACTGCGCGGTTAAAAGGGTATGCGGCCACAAAAGTGAGATTTTTATTCAAGAATAAAACTAGTTGAACCCGTTCAAACATAGATGGATGGGTATATCGCCATAGATCATGTAAACCACTTACACAGGGTGACTTAAAATGGACTTTACAAATTTGAAATATAATAATTAATTTGTACGGTTTCAAATGCGGTGTCTTAAAAACACGCCACAATCGTCTGTGGGACCTACACTTCTTCAACGACTTCGTCTGATGTGCTTGGACGATCTGGTGATTCCTTATGACTTATCGAGCACCCTATCTCTATAAAACATTTATGTCACTACGAGGAGGACCTTAGGCATACTTTGTACGGGAATTACGTTGAATTGTTGTCATCGATTTTGATTCTTCAAATCAAAACACACTTATTTACAGCACACTCGGCTCCAGTTTCGCACAACTGCCGCTAGAGAGTCAAAACTTGATGTGCTTCCGTACAAGGGAACAAAAAGTAGGAAAAGAACGAATATAAATATGGAAGAAAAGTGGCTGATTTTAGGTATGTAGGAAGTCAGAGAAGTCAGGACGGATGTAGAAGTAGGGATACAAAGCAGAGGATAACGCCGGGTTGAGTCGCCTTCAGTAAACAGAAGTCACTTCCATTCTCGCGAACGGTTAAGTTAGAAATTCGAAAAAGAGTGTTAGAGGTTAGAAATGAAGAGGTATTAGAAATAATAGGAGAGCAGAGAACTCTATGGAAGTCAATAAGACATAGGCGAGATAGGTTAGGACACCTTCTCAGGCATGAAGGTCTAGTCAGAGACATATTAGAGGCAGAAACATGAGTTAAGAGGAGTAGAGGTAGACCTAGATTAGATTACTGTTCGCAAACAGTTAAGTATGTGGGACGTTCTAGTTTTAGGGAAGTGCGAAGATTAGCTCGGGATAGGAAAGGGTGAAGGTGCGTGTCCAATCAGTCTGAGGACTGATGACCTTCTGATGATGATAAATATTTAGGATGAGTTGCACTTTGTTTCAGTTACCATTTCGGAACAATTTCTTTGAAGGTATAATGACAGATAAAGATTTTAGATAATCTCATTATACAAAGGCAGTGTACTTTCCTGAAGCAGATCACGTATGTTTAATGTACAAATATTTTCCTACTATGAAACAAAAACCGTCAAAATTGATAAAACAAGGAAAAAGAAAAGACCGTTAATTGACATGTTCAACATACAGAAAAAAAGGTACCATCATTCGTAGACAACGCGGATTTATTTATCGACGATTAGCATTTCCTACAAATGTGCCTGTTGCGAAACAAGTTGTGTACAACACCTACCACACGTTCGTAGACGTGCTTGAAAACAAAAATTTTGCTGAGAGAAATGATCACATTTACGTGACATCACGTGAAAACTGAATACGCTTTCCGAATTTTAATTTGCTCACTTAAATGTTAACATCGATCAGATAAAATATTACTGACCGTTTACAGGCACTTTGTATGTGTCTTGCGCTAAGCATAAGCTTGCGTTTCGGTTGAATCGTAAAGAAAAATTTGAGTTTTGACCAAAAAAAAAACACAAACTACAACGGGGATAACCACTGTTGAGATTTTGTACACTAACACTAAAACTAATATAATAATAATAACAAGAATAAAAACGAAGGACTGTGTTGAATTGTGACACTGTTATACTGTAAGTACTACTTCAGAACCCTCAAAATGAGGGAGTGGTTTACTACCATTTATCTCTCATGTTTCGATGAAATACATACATTAATTTAAATAGCCTTGAATGTATGGCTTATACGTTATTAATTAGCAATTAATCGAAACTATCGGACATGGATCAATAATTCGGAATTATTAGTTCTCATCAGCACGCGTAAGCAGCTTCCGGAAATTACCGACCAAAAGATAGTTGCTCCATAAAAATTAAGTTATTGACAGATGATCGCTATTTACTGACATTTACTGGTACGTGGTTGTTCCAGTATTACGTGAAGCAGTTTTTGAAGATTTTTGTCACTCCCTCCCCTTATTACCACCCTATCATTTTGCTTAACCCCCATTCCTCTCCCTTCCCCAAAATTCCGTTACGTAATACTTGAACGTCCTCAAACTCCCTAGACAAAAAATTTCAGTCTCTCCCCAGTCTCTCAGAGTCTTTCAGCGTCTCCGAGAGAGTCTCTCACAGTCTCTCAGTTATTGCCTAGGTGTTTTTATGGATCCCTCACAGTCTCTGTATGAGAGACTCGAACGATAAAATTGTTAATTCAGAGATTCGAGTCTCTCACAGAGAGACTGAATGAATAAAACTGAAAAATCGAGAGACTCGAGTCTCTCGTAGAAAGACTGGGATTTCTGAAATATCTTGAACTTAGAAAATTTTTACCATGACTATCGAGAAACCACTTATTGAGAGATTCAAGTCTCTCGTTCAGACTTAACACGAAATGATAATCTCTCTATGAGCGACTCGAGTCTCTCGTTCAGAGACGCTAAACAGTTGTTTTGAAAGTCTCTCTCAGCGACACCATAGAGACCCGACGAGACACGGAGACTCGAGTCTCGCTTTTAGAGACTCTGAGACACTGAACATTTTTATCTCGGGCTGTACCATATGAAACATCCTTTCTCATGATAATCTTCTGCTGCCTATAATTGAGACCGTCTAACAATATGCCAGATGATAGTGACTCACCTATAGTGTTCTCTGCCTCACCACCACCCACAGAAGACGAAACCAGAGTACAATTTGTCAACTGACTGTTTTTACGTAACAGATTTCCGGTCCTCCGTTTTCGAACTGCGTACGTGTGCACAGGCACTATCAATTTTGGTCGTGGAATCGAAAATTCACTCACCCGACTACCCCTTTCACTGTCCCTGTCACTAACGTTAACAACGTCGGTCACTTGCGACACCACCGCGACTTGCTTCGTTTGCTTCGTGCTAGGACGATTTTCTAGTCTCAAAGTGTCTACGAATTTCTGCTGCACATTAGCACCAATCTTGTAAATGTCGTAAATGTCGTTTCTTGGTGACATTTCTTGATCGGAATTGACTTTTTCGGAACTGTTACGGAAGTCTTCGTCATCTTCTTCGATGCTCCCGTCTCCTTCGTCTTCGGAATTGCTACTACTAGATGAACAGTAAATATTTTTCGGGGGAATTCTTTGTCGAATCTTTTTTGGAGATTCGTAGTAACCACTGTCGTTACGGTCCAAACTGACGTCAGTACCAGCAGGTCCAGTTTTGGTAAAATTTTTCGTCAAAGACTCCGCCGAACCTGTGAAACCCTCTTCGTTGTCTCGAAGGTAATCGTTCTGGTTGTCTACCCAAGAGTGTGTTCTAGTTTCTGCGGTATTCTCCCCATCTTCGTCAGACTTAGTTCCACTTTTTTGTAATTTCCTTGGCAAAGCGTACAAGGCTTCCTTATGGTTTTCGCCATTGTAAGGAACTTTGAGATCATCGGAATCATTCTGGATTTGCGAAGTTTCCCAGGATCGCAAATCAGAAGAATTATCGTCTTCCAAGTAAATGTGGTCATCTGTATTTTGAATGCTGGTTCCTATTTCAGTACTTTTGTCGTTAAATCTTACCGACTTTTTTGTAAGATGGTCTTCAAGATCATTAACGACTTCCTTGTAACGGTAAGCATGGGCGTTTCCATTTGGAATTTTCGTACGAGGTTTTGGTTTAGGTATTTCCATTGGTGGATCGAAAACGTACTTTTCTTTAGAACTATTTTCAGTTTCGTTGTAGTTTTCTGTTACATCAATGTCACGTTGAGATTGTGGAGCATCTTCTTTGCCGTCGCTCTCCTTGGTGGTGTTACCAAAGTAATCCATGGGATTAAATTCACTTTGGGAAAAAACCAAATAGGGTTTGGTTGATTGCGGAGAGTGATGCCCATTAGTAATAGTGTGGGTACTTTTATGTACAGATGGAGTGTCTTCAGTTTTACTTTTCAGTTGTTTTCTAATTATTTTACCGTAGCCCTGCTGGTTATCGTCAAAATTCTTCCAAGACGCCGTAGACTCTTCGCTATCTGAACTTTCAGCATCTTCAGAACGATTTGGCTCGCCGTTCATAACAACGTCGGGATTTGGTTGTTTTATAAATGACCAGTTGGTGTTACTGTAACTACTTACGTTCATCTCTCGATGTATATGATAATAATCGTCATATTCATCCGAATCGGTATAATTTGGGGTAGATTCTAAAGGCGATACGGTTTTGTTGAGATCATATAAATTTTTTTCTGACGCTGATTTTGTGACAGCAACACTTCTTGCTGTTGGTTTTAAAATATTTTGTTTATTTTGACCGAATTGGTGTACGGTACATTCGCCACCTTGTTTCTTTTCAAAAGCCTTCTTTTTTTGGGTGGTGGACTTAGGGGTGGCCATTTCATGAAACGATGTACTTCGACTAAGATGACCGTTTGTAATTTTCGGCTTTCTGTCCAACGTAACATTATTACTGTTCGTTACATACACTTCATGGGTTGATGAATTTTGGCTAAAGTAACATTCATCCATTACGGTTTTATTCTTGTTATTGAAATGGGATAAGTACTTGTCGCTGTGGTAACGATGATTTCGAATGCTTCCGTTGCTACTACCTTTATCAGAACCAGATCCGCTTTTGTGATTTTTCCTGTACTTTTTTCTTTCTAAAGTGTTTTGGTATTTGCCCATCTTTGACCCGAAATTGTAATCTGAGCTACTCTCACTCTCGTATGAGTTGGGTATCGATAAATTTCGTTGGGTATCTTCCCAACTGGCTTCGTACAATCGGCTCCTCGTGCTGTTGGGTACATCCATTTCCAACCACGCGGGATCGTCCAGGACAGCTTTTCCAGGATAATGCTTCAACTTCATTTTGATATTAACAGTGTCAAGTTTCGGTCAAATTATCTGTTTATCATGATGATACTTCGGGTAATGTGTTTGGTATCTATAGAGTGAGAAAAAAATGCTTAACATCTTTGCCCGAAAGGCTGTCCAAATGCCCAATGAGAATATCTGATTTTATCGTTATCGCATTGAAAATAGTCATGAAATACATATGTGCATATTAAGCGAAACTTAACCAACCCTAACCTCACTTAATGTAATATATTTTACAACAGGAGCGGATAAGAATATACGTACTGGTGGAGAAAAGAATTACAAAAACATCACCGATGGTCAAATTCATTAACACGTAAATCGATTAAAAGCTAGCATTGTATAGATACAGATTTTACGAAGTATCACAAACGGCGCGCAAAACGCCATCTGTGGCACAGTGCTACATTTAGTGGAATTCAATAGGTTCAACGAGGTTCATCAGTGCGTTTTTCTTTTGTTTGTTCGTTTCGATTTCGTATCTTCCACGAATTTGAACTACACCATGGTGTTCAGCAAGTACATATTCTTCAAATATAGCATTGTACTACAGATGGCGTTTACCGCGCCGTTTGTACTACTCCATAAAACGCTGGTAGAGTTGATAAACTGTAAAACAAATAAAGTGGATCATCCTGTACAGCGTTAATGGGAGTAGGTAGGTAGTTTCAAAATAGACCAGTAGGACGAGAAACGGTAATGATTCTAAGAGCCCACATGTAATAACGTAAGAGTTCAAGTTTGTTCTTCACTTAACGCCAGACAAAGAATAATCGTACGTAATCTTTCATCGTGACAAACGTCCATTTATTTACTGTTAGCGTAAGTACTTTTTGTTTGAAGGAATATTATTGTGTGGCGAGACATTTAATAAACATATTCAAGGCGAGTTCGAAAATTATTCATGAACCTATAATAACTGCGAGCGCGTATAAGGATATCATTAAAACTCTGGACGCCCCTATTTGATTTTTAACTAATTTAATTAAATGAATTGAAAAATAAAGAGATATTTCAGAGATGAATTGGTGAAAGTTTAAACAAGTAGGCATAATTGTATACGTCAGACACGATATTTTGTTCATAAGGCTGCAAGTTACTTATATCATAATATTTTCTTATGGAGCCAGTTCAGCTGTTTTTTATAACCCACGTATGTATATAACATGCATACGCTTAGTTTATAAAAATCCGTTAAATATTGCATAGCAATAAAGCCAATGACGATAGTACAATCAATTACTTTCATTCCGAACAATATATCAACTGTCCTGGATGGGTGGAGTCATTTAACCGTATGATGACGGAGGAATACTTTGGATTGCACAGACTCTATACCATCTACCGAACAGATTTTTTTCAAATCTTTACTACAGAATTATTGCTTTTGGTAAATGTCTAGATGACGGCCCCATAAAAAGTTATCGGGGTTGAAAGTTGATTATTTTGACAATTTTCATACACTATAATTCAAATAAAATTCAATAAAAAAATTATTTTTAAGCGGATGGAGAAAAACCCGATAACCTAACCTAACGTACCCTATTGATAAAGATATTTAAATAATGTTTTATATAACTTTCTGAATATTTTTATGTATTTTTCATTAGTTTTACCTTTGAATATTGTTTAAGAATGACTATATAAATATTTACATGCCTAGAAATGNTATATAACTTTCTCAATATTTTTATGTATTTTTCATTAGTTTTACCTTTGAATATTGTTTAAGAATGACTATATAAATATTTACATGCCTAGAAATGTATAAAAATTGGCATATTTATTAACGTTGAACCCCCATAACTTTTTATGGGGGTGAGAACGCCACGAACTTTTTATGGTACAGTGGTTGGGAGACATCCTCTTTCGACATCCCCCACTTCCACCCCCTTCGGGGGGCCATCATCTAGACCTTTACCTTGCATTTTAATATCCTCTACATGGAGTTTTAAATTAAACAAAATACAAGTAGTATTAAATGGAGAACATGACAAAATTAAGGACGATTCTATTAAAATTTTTGTCACGATCGACTGTCCTAATAGCCACGATTAACATCATTACGGTCCTGTTGCGTTTTTTTTTTAATTTATTGTGCATCATTCACGCTTGCACGTTTAATTAATGCACATTCTTTACCAAACTTTTTGAAAATTAACTTTGTATATTTCATGACAATTCCATCTTAAAATACATTTTACCGATGGTCGTTGTTCATGGTAACGTTGGCTTTGCTGTTAGTTTCTGAATTGTGCCGATCACTTTGCCGTGTCGACCATCAATTATTAAAGTTAATATTATGGATTGAGAAAAGAGGTTATTGATTCCCGAATGTGTCATCGTCCTACAACGCCGCGGTCTTATGATTAGCTGTAGAGTTGAGTTATGATTATGATATACTAGTGTAAGAAGCAGGTTTATAGTGCGTTCGTATAAAGCGTCATTTTTTGACACAGCGTTGGCTTTGATCGTGGGTCAACTGGGATGTTAATGGCGTTGACCGATTATACGTAAATTGGCGGAAAAGTATAAATTCAATTTTCTAGGATTTGTTTCTAACACATACAGAAAAAGTCTCATTTCAAAAGCAACAATGATTGCCATTAGTCATATATAAAATTCCAATAATTCGCTACTACCGCTAAAATTAGTAACAAAATAAGATAAATATTAACTTATTACTAAAATCCGGCTCGAAGGACCATGTGTAGCGATGGAATTAGTTGATAACTAAACCATTAATCCAATATCTCTTTAAATTAATGAACACTGACAATTGAAAATTTTAGAATGTACCTATACACCACTATAAATATCTAATATATATAATATACCATTCTTATCGTTAGTGAAAGGCTAACATTTAAGATAGAAACACTGAAAGGAGTACGAGAAAAATCACTTTAAAAGTTTCAATTTTTTTTATTATTAATTTAAACATAGTCCGAGTTAATTATTTTTTTTCTTTCTGCCTCTGACAATAAATGGCTTTCATGAACAATATCTTAAAATTGACGATTCATCGTTGTGGTTAACAAAAAAATGAGTAGAATAGTCAGTGAACATTTTAACCTGTATGCGATTTACTCATTCAGTAATCAAAAGTACAGTTACTTTACAGGATATTATATATACCTGTGCATTACCATGATGCAGGTAAATGTTAAGCTGCGCGAAACTATTTTGATGACCCAGGTGAAAGGTTAATTGGGATTTAATGTGCTAATAAGCAATTATTCCATATGCGGCATCCGGAAAACTGTTGCGTATAACGTTTTAAATGCACCGTATCTCGTTAATACACGTTCATAAATAAGCAAATATGTCCACACATTCGCGAATACTTTTGATGAATTACTATTTCAAATGTAACCGAAAATACTTCGTTGTAGTAAAGGGCAATGACTGCTGCTGCAATGTACATATTTGGGACATGAGATTTGGCAAGTAGTTCATTACCTACAGTAACACATTCGTTTTCGAATTCTATTTAATTTTTTTTTTTATTTAAAAGAAACAATAATCTGAAATTTAGAAATAATACTATATGCAGTGTTTTTGTCCAAAAATTTAAATCGTGTTGAAAACTTCATTTCAACTAACCACCTTAAATGGAAATAATACCTAAACGGAGCGAATTTTGACTCATATTACATTTATTGAATACTCCTAGTAGATATTAAATAGCGATCACCCTAACAGACATACAGACCGTACCAGGCTCTAGGTAGAGGAAGTAATTGCAGTGTTAAGTTTGGTTTTCATATTAAATTCTCTGTAGGAAAGTTAGGATATAATGACTCAGTTTAAACTGAAATATTGTTTATTATGATTGATTCTCAAGAAATCATATCCGGCTATAGTGACCCAAATGACGACATTTTTGCTCATTTTTCTGACCCTTTTTATGTATATTGATATTACAATACGTCGTTCTTTTCGTTTTTCTGTTAATAAATATATACAATTTGTAGTTTTTCTCTCTATTAAACTACGATGTCATTATAAGCGTATTCTACTGTAATTGGCAGTTTTCTTAATAACAGTTTTATACAACAAGTATCAGTAGCTTAAAGGCGAAAAAAAACTTGCACATTGTTACTTTACAAAGAAATTTCATTTTTTAAGATTACTCAAGTTTATTTTTCCGAAAAATACATTTTTACATGGAGAAAATTAATTTTCTAGACAACGCAAAAATTTCAATTTTCGGTTGTAAATGACTGAATTTGCCGTAGAAATAGTAGAATTTATTAGATAACTTGTAATAATCTCAATTTTGATATGTTTCTCTAAAAGTTACTTCAAGTTTCTTAATAATTACTATTAATTTTGTAATATCAACTAAAATACCTAGGAAATTTATTTCTGCTGGGATTTTATTTTTACAAATTCGGGTTCAAATTTTTATTATTTTCGCTTACGAAGCAACGGACTAGTGGGATAAATTTAATATTTAGGTAAATTTTCGTTTTTCATTTTCTCCGTGTAATATTTAAAAATAATGAAGAAGAAAAATCACTCGAATACTAAGTCCTTCTAGATGAGCTAGCTGAGATTATTGTGGCAATTATTAGGATGGAGAGGGGGATCCCTAAGTTGCGTTTCAAAGGAAAACATTTTTAGATTCGATGACTAACGCTTTTTCCACCAAGGGGCCGTCAAAGTTAACTAAAGGTTTTCGTCAATCTTAAATATACGTATAACTAACAAATTCGTGTATGTTGAATTTAAATGTCACATTCATTTGGATATATTTTGGTGTTTTGAAAGTCTCTCTCAGCGACACCATAGAGACCCGACGAGACACGGAGACTCGAGTCTCGCTTTCAGAGACTCTGAGAGACTGAACATTTTTATCTCGGGCTGTACCATATGAAACATCCTTTCTCATGATAATCTTCTGCTGCCTATAATTGAGACCGTCTAACAATATGCCAGATGATAGTGACTCACCTATAGTGTTCTCTGCCTCACCACCACCCACAGAAGACGAAACCAGAGTACAATTTGTCAACTGACTGTTTTTACGTAACAGATTTCCGGTCCTCCGTTTTCGAACTGCGTACGTGTGCACAGGCACTATCAATTTTGGTCGTGGAATCGAAAATTCACTCACCCGACTACCCCTTTCACTGTCCCTGTCACTAACGTTAACAACGTCGGTCACTTGCGACACCACCGCGACTTGCTTCGTTTGCTTCGTGCTAGGACGATTTTCTAGTCTCAAAGTGTCTACGAATTTCTGCTGCACATTAGCACCAATCTTGTAAATGTCGTAAATGTCGTTTCTTGGTGACATTTCTTGATCGGAATTGACTTTTTCGGAACTGTTACGGAAGTCTTCGTCATCTTCTTCGATGCTCCCGTCTCCTTCGTCTTCGGAATTGCTACTACTAGATGAACAGTAAATATTTTTCGGGGGAATTCTTTGTCGAATCTTTTTTGGAGATTCGTAGTAACCACTGTCGTTACGGTCCAAACTGACGTCAGTACCAGCAGGTCCAGTTTTGGTAAAATTTTTCGTCAAAGACTCCGCCGAACCTGTGAAACCCTCTTCGTTGTCTCGAAGGTAATCGTTCTGGTTGTCTACCCAAGAGTGTGTTCTAGTTTCTGCGGTATTCTCCCCATCTTCGTCAGACTTAGTTCCACTTTTTTGTAATTTCCTTGGCAAAGCGTACAAGGCTTCCTTATGGTTTTCGCCATTGTAAGGAACTTTGAGATCATCGGAATCATTCTGGATTTGCGAAGTTTCCCAGGATCGCAAATCAGAAGAATTATCGTCTTCCAAGTAAATGTGGTCATCTGTATTTTGAATGCTGGTTCCTATTTCAGTACTTTTGTCGTTAAATCTTACCGACTTTTTTGTAAGATGGTCTTCAAGATCATTAACGACTTCCTTGTAACGGTAAGCATGGGCGTTTCCATTTGGAATTTTCGTACGAGGTTTTGGTTTAGGTATTTCCATTGGTGGATCGAAAACGTACTTTTCTTTAGAACTATTTTCAGTTTCGTTGTAGTTTTCTGTTACATCAATGTCACGTTGAGATTGTGGAGCATCTTCTTTGCCGTCGCTCTCCTTGGTGGTGTTACCAAAGTAATCCATGGGATTAAATTCACTTTGGGAAAAAACCAAATAGGGTTTGGTTGATTGCGGAGAGTGATGCCCATTAGTAATAGTGTGGGTACTTTTATGTACAGATGGAGTGTCTTCAGTTTTACTTTTCAGTTGTTTTCTAATTATTTTACCGTAGCCCTGCTGGTTATCGTCAAAATTCTTCCAAGACGCCGTAGACTCTTCGCTATCTGAACTTTCAGCATCTTCAGAACGATTTGGCTCGCCGTTCATAACAACGTCGGGATTTGGTTGTTTTATAAATGACCAGTTGGTGTTACTGTAACTACTTACGTTCATCTCTCGATGTATATGATAATAATCGTCATATTCATCCGAATCGGTATAATTTGGGGTAGATTCTAAAGGCGATACGGTTTTGTTGAGATCATATAAATTTTTTTCTGACGCTGATTTTGTGACAGCAACACTTCTTGCTGTTGGTTTTAAAATATTTTGTTTATTTTGACCGAATTGGTGTACGGTACATTCGCCACCTTGTTTCTTTTCAAAAGCCTTCTTTTTTTGGGTGGTGGACTTAGGGGTGGCCATTTCATGAAACGATGTACTTCGACTAAGATGACCGTTTGTAATTTTCGGCTTTCTGTCCAACGTAACATTATTACTGTTCGTTACATACACTTCATGGGTTGATGAATTTTGGCTAAAGTAACATTCATCCATTACGGTTTTATTCTTGTTATTGAAATGGGATAAGTACTTGTCGCTGTGGTAACGATGATTTCGAATGCTTCCGTTGCTACTACCTTTATCAGAACCAGATCCGCTTTTGTGATTTTTCCTGTACTTTTTTCTTTCTAAAGTGTTTTGGTATTTGCCCATCTTTGACCCGAAATTGTAATCTGAGCTACTCTCACTCTCGTATGAGTTGGGTATCGATAAATTTCGTTGGGTATCTTCCCAACTGGCTTCGTACAATCGGCTCCTCGTGCTGTTGGGTACATCCATTTCCAACCACGCGGGATCGTCCAGGACAGCTTTTCCAGGATAATGCTTCAACTTCATTTTGATATTAACAGTGTCAAGTTTCGGTCAAATTATCTGTTTATCATGATGATACTTCGGGTAATGTGTTTGGTATCTATAGAGTGAGAAAAAAATGCTTAACATCTTTGCCCGAAAGGCTGTCCAAATGCCCAATGAGAATATCTGATTTTATCGTTATCGCATTGAAAATAGTCATGAAATACATATGTGCATATTAAGCGAAACTTAACCAACCCTAACCTCACTTAATGTAATATATTTTACAACAGGAGCGGATAAGAATATACGTACTGGTGGAGAAAAGAATTACAAAAACATCACCGATGGTCAAATTCATTAACACGTAAATCGATTAAAAGCTAGCATTGTATAGATACAGATTTTACGAAGTATCACAAACGGCGCGCAAAACGCCATCTGTGGCACAGTGCTACATTTAGTGGAATTCAATAGGTTCAACGAGGTTCATCAGTGCGTTTTTCTTTTGTTTGTTCGTTTCGATTTCGTATCTTCCACGAATTTGAACTACACCATGGTGTTCAGCAAGTACATATTCTTCAAATATAGCATTGTACTACAGATGGCGTTTACCGCGCCGTTTGTACTACTCCATAAAACGCTGGTAGAGTTGATAAACTGTAAAACAAATAAAGTGGATCATCCTGTACAGCGTTAATGGGAGTAGGTAGGTAGTTTCAAAATAGACCAGTAGGACGAGAAACGGTAATGATTCTAAGAGCCCACATGTAATAACGTAAGAGTTCAAGTTTGTTCTTCACTTAACGCCAGACAAAGAATAATCGTACGTAATCTTTCATCGTGACAAACGTCCATTTATTTACTGTTAGCGTAAGTACTTTTTGTTTGAAGGAATATTATTGTGTGGCGAGACATTTAATAAACATATTCAAGGCGAGTTCGAAAATTATTCATGAACCTATAATAACTGCGAGCGCGTATAAGGATATCATTAAAACTCTGGACGCCCCTATTTGATTTTTAACTAATTTAATTAAATGAATTGAAAAATAAAGAGATATTTCAGAGATGAATTGGTGAAAGTTTAAACAAGTAGGCATAATTGTATACGTCAGACACGATATTTTGTTCATAAGGCTGCAAGTTACTTATATCATAATATTTTCTTATGGAGCCAGTTCAGCTGTTTTTTATAACCCACGTATGTATATAACATGCATACGCTTAGTTTATAAAAATCCGTTAAATATTGCATAGCAATAAAGCCAATGACGATAGTACAATCAATTACTTTCATTCCGAACAATATATCAACTGTCCTGGATGGGTGGAGTCATTTAACCGTATGATGACGGAGGAATACTTTGGATTGCACAGACTCTATACCATCTACCGAACAGATTTTTTTCAAATCTTTACTACAGAATTATTGCTTTTGGTAAATGTCTAGATGACGGCCCCATAAAAAGTTATCGGGGTTGAAAGTTGATTATTTTGACAATTTTCATACACTATAATTCAAATAAAATTCAATAAAAAAATTATTTTCAAGCGGGTGGAGGTGGGGGATCGAAAGAGGGTGGTCACTTGAACAAAACCCGATAACCTAACCTAACCTACCCTA